CAGATATAGTAGACAGACAGACAGATAGATAAATGATAGATAGATAGAAATAGATAGGTGATAGATGATAAATAGTAGATAGGTGATAGATAGATGATTGACAAATAATCTATAGATAGACAGATACAAATTTTAGGCTAGAAATAAGTGTCAGAGAACATGTGGAGAAATTAAAATCCTTTTGCCTTTTTGTCATTGTTTGTTTGTTAATATAAAATTGTGCAGCTCCTTTAGAAAACAGCTTTGCCATTCTGCAAAAATTTAAACACACAATCTTCATATGTTCCCAGAATTACACTTTCGGGTACATACCCAAGAAGCTGAAAACACACACCACATCCCCTGAAAACAAAACAAAACCCTGCACATGGCTTTATGCTGAATAGGCAAAAATCAGAAGTAACCCACGTGTCCACCAATAAGAAATAAACGAAATGTGATCTAACTACACAGTGAAATATCATTCACTCATAAAAGCAAAGAAGTACTGGATGCTATAATGTGGTGGGCCCCAAACTATTATGCTAAAGTCAAATAAGCCTAACACCAAAGTACGGGTATTGTGAGGTAGTAATGAGTTTTGCACAACTGTGACGATACCAACACTGAGCTGTGTGCACTTTAAAGTGATCAACAACACGGTTATGCAGAAAGAGAGGAAGGGGCAGAGAAAGTCCAAGCACACCCTGTGCCCACATTATAAAAGAAAAGAATTATGAAGTGAATGTAATAAAACTAAGGAGTCCACGTGGGCCCTTCTGTGCCTTGAGACTCAGCACTTCAGGCTGTCCCGGTATAAACAGAACCTCAAATGTCGCTCATGAGATCAGCATGGTTCTGGTCCCAGGGAACACATCCCCACCCAAGTTGACAGTGATGGGCAGTCTGTGGGTGTTGGGCTTCTGTCAGGGCAGGAGATGCTGTCTTACATATGGAGAGGACAGCACTGATGGAAGCATTTCAGCAGGAGAAAAAAAAAAACAGTCACCTGGCCACACGCTTCCTCTATGTGCGGCTGTAATTTTTTTTTTCTTTTGCAGCAAACAGCATTTTGAATATCAGAGCATCAACAATCTTGGTTTCTCATTAGATCCTAATCATTACTTGTGAAAGTTCTCATGTTTTGGAGAAACAGCGTATCACATAACTGAGCAAGATTTTGCGATATTAAGAGTTGTCTACTGAAACTGTGCCCTCTCCACAGATTAGAATAAGGAGGCTCTGTCCCCCCGAAATGCAGAAGGCAATCTTAGATGAAAGTTGGGTCTTTGCAGGGTCAATCAAAGCAACAACGTGAGTCCTAGCACGGTGCTACTGCTGCTTCTCACAGAAGGGGATTGATTATTTGGAGAACTCTGCCGGAAGAGCACCATGGAGCTTCAAGCCCAAACTCAAGTAACGTGTCCATGAGCCGATGGATGTCAGCAAGTACTGGTGAGTCCCAGGAGAATACAGAAAGATGTCAGCAAGTTCTGGTGAGAATACAAATTCAGGAGAATACAGAAAGCTTTCCTTGCAATGCTCAGGATGAGCCAAACCTACAGATGCCTTGCTATCAGAATTCTAGCCTCCAGAGCTGTGTGAGACTGCTCTAATGTCTCAGCTATGCATAGAGGTCATAGAGGACATATACTATTCATCGTTATGTAGAGCGGACGCCTAAAATGTTTATTACAAATGTGCTATGTGAAGCTGTCAGCAGCCTCTTGCAATTTTTAAAATTTTCTGCGTCTTGATTCCATCAGAAGTCATTTCAAGCGACTGACTTACATTATCTAGAGGTCTGTAAATTTGCTCTTAGATACACAATGACAAAGTTGCCTGATGACTGTAGAGTTGCCTACATCTCCACTGATGAGGGGCACGTGACCACACTCTTTAATTTATACACGTTGAGACGATGTGTGCATTTAAGTGGTGATTTTATAACCAACATGCATGATGAGGTTATAAAATCAGTAGCACAGTCTATAATGACGATTTTCAGATATGATCTCATGTCTATGCTTGAACATGGTACATAAAATTCCCCAAAGTTAAGCCCTATGTGAAGCAAGTCCATATGGGACAATGAAGAAAAATAATTTTATAGACCTAACATATAAAATCATACACATTATATATGTGTCTAGCCCATGAGCATTATACTCATTTGTACTAGATAGTGTTAAAATTGTAAATTTTGATAGTCTGGGCTTTCAATTATAGAAAACCAATTTTTCACACATTTTTTTTGGGGGTGTGTGAAGGAGTATTTGTCAATGTAGAAGGAACATTATCACTAGGCAGGTATGTTGGCTTCATTTATACCTTCTACTGCCTCCGACAGTATGAGCCTCAGCTGTGCCTTTGCTCCAGGGCTTGTAACTGCTTGGGGTGGTCTAGAGACTAGCAAATATAGTAGCGCTAAAGTTTGAGGTTATAAACAGAGCCATCAACAACCCTCAAGTCACCCTTAGCATCCCGAAGCTGTTTTGTGAAAACCTGAATTGGTTGGTCACTCTGACTGGAGGGCTCCTGGGCTGAGGTCTCCAGTCCTGGCTTCCCCTGGGTTCTGTCTCCTGCATCTCACTCTTGTGAGGTTCTGGATGTTCGAATAGTGCCTCAGATGCTCATTTGGTTTTACTTTCAGTGACCCTGACTGAGCTACTTACAAGTAAACTTGTAAACAGCATGCCACTCCTATTTTTGGGAAAAAGTAAATTTCCAAGGAGGCCATTAATGCTGTGATGTCCCTACAGTTCCCGTTCTGTTTATTTCTGACTGCTCTTGGGTTTGCCTGATCACTGGGGACTCGGAGGGCACAGGTGGAACTACCACATGTCTGGGAGTTAGTTTTAGGAACTCCTAGTGACAGAGTAAGCACTGGTAGTTAAGAAAGGGGACAATGCTATGGGTTTTTCGGAAAGGAATAGTGGAGCTGGGTAGAAGGCTCAGTGGGTAGCAGCACTTGCTGTAGAAGCATGAGGACCTGAGTTCAAATCTTCTGAAGTCACAGAAAATGTCAGGGATGGTTGTAAGTGATTGCAACCCCAGTACAGGGGGGCAGGGGTAAAGAAGGCAGGAGAATCGTTGGGCCTTGCTGGTCACCAGCCTAGCTTTGGGTTCAGCGAGAGATCCTGACCTCAAGGGAAGAAAGCAGAGCCGGATGGAAGAGGACATAGCCTTCCGGTGTCAACACACACCTTCACACACCCCGCGGAAAGAAAATAAAATCATCAAAATGACAACGAGGAATGCCAAAATGAGATTGAGCTGGAAAAGGCCCTGTGAAGTTGTCAACTTGGGTTGAAGATTTTTAGGCGAATCAACATGAATGACCCAAGCAAGCATGGCAGCTATCAATACCGTGTGCCACCTAAACTCAGTGGGTGCTCAGACAGCAAACATGAAAGACAAATCTCAGCAGATCCCTTTAGCTGTGGTAGGTATCTTTAATGAACTTCAGTCTCCTCTTCAGGTAGCTATACTCACGAAGTCGCTAGATTATCTGTATAAAATTAAATCACAACATACTGGCTTCACCAGAAAGATGGCCATCAAGAAAAAGTCAATGTGGACAGAAAGGAGGACAGGTCAGTATCTAACACCATTGAGATTACAAAGAACTATCTTTCTTAGGCAAAAGCAGCAGACAGAACATCAACAGCCTTGGGCTGCACGGCAAAGGAAAGTTAGTGAACCACAAAAGCCGCCTGTGAACCGATTACAAGCCACATTAGAAACACGGGTTAATACGAACAAATAAGGGACCCGTGTGGGAAGTGGTTTTAAGGCATGTAACAAAAGTTTTAATCTTTGTTTAAATAAGACTTCAAAAGAATTCCATATACAATGGAATTAGTGAGACAGCTTTTTTTTTTAAAGGAGACGTTAGCTTCAAGAGATGCCAGGCTGAGTGGCCGAACTTCCGATTGCTCTGAGATCAAGCCATGTTTTAGATGACGGTAGGTAGAAGGCAATTAGCACTGGGTGATTTTAAAGACTCTTTCACAGTTGCCTTTAACTGGCTGATGAAACAGCAGAGCAGTGTGGCTGAAGGCCAATGTTTATTTTTACCCAGTACCTATTTTATTAATGGGATTGTGGGCCACTGGGCCTCCAGGTACACACCAATGCCCTAAAATACCTCCCCTCTGTAATTAAGAGGCGCAGAGGGGATTAGAGCAGGCTAAGTGGCTGTTACTTTTCATACTGGTGTGGTCCAAGCCAGGCATGCTTAGGCTCTTATGGCAGACCCGGTGAATTCTAGCCCGTAAGTAAGTCGACAGAATACGGAGGCAAGGCATGTGTGTGTGTTTCCCTGCAAATTTTAAATAAATGGGTCTTTCTCTCCAAATAAAAATATACATAAGGAGTAAAAAAGAAATACCTCCTCAAGTAGATGTTTCTAGAGTGAAAGATGAGAATCCCTCCGCCAGAATAATAAACGCATCAACAATAGCATCATTTACAGAAATGGAATCCTTAAACTTCATTATCAAGGGATTTGGAAGGAATCTAACTGCCAGGGAACTCTCAATCCAAGATGGGGCTCCCCCTCCTCTTTGTGAGTTAGAACTTTGGCTGCTGAGTTCTTTGGAAGGAACAAAAAATAAAGTGATCAGCTAATGTTGCCCTGTGCAATAATTCACAGCATCAGAAATGCTTGCAGAATGTAAAACAGACCCTGGTAGCGGCAGGAAAAGTTCCTAAGCCAGCACTCCATCATTTTTTTGTTTGATTTGACCAAATCCACTGTTGCCACTAACTGTTAGCTTCATTTAAAAATAGTAAATGTAGGAAGAGGTTTGCTTTGATCAGTCGGATTCCTGATTGCCAGACTAGAGATTACTGCCAGGGCTGGTCTCCTTTGGGGCTGCACATCAGAGAAAAAGAAAAAGGCAGAGGCATCTGGAAACACAGTCTTCTGGCTTGTGCACAGGACAACATTGCCTCTGCCCAGAAACCTACGCAGAAATGCTTTGAAATGGCGGAGCTTAGAGATGCGGAGTACTTACGAGGATCCTGGACTTGCAGTAGGAGCAGGCCCTAAAGAAACAAGAACAACAAAAGATGCAGTCTGGGTAACTGGAGGGTGAGGAAGAGTGTATCCACCAATGACAACGAATGCTCCCACCTGTATTGATTTTTCTTGGATTCCCTCTTTTGACTTCGGTTCCCCCAAACCACCTCTCTCCCGGAATCCCAGCATACCGGTGAGAATGTGACTCACTCCTGCAGCACAGGGTCTGAACACTGCATAGACAAGTGCAAAGACTATAGTTGAGTATCCCCTGCCACTCTAGGAGGCTTAGTGACTGCATATGGGCAGGCATTGCCATTGCCAACACCTCAGGGTGAGGACTACCTGTACTGGGAGCTACACGGCACAGGGGTTTCTAGTAGGGGAAGTGAGGTCAGAGAGAAGCGGCCTCCTCTATGCCTCCTGACCATGGAAATGCCCTACTGGTCTGTGGATTACTTATTTCTAAATTAAATACAATGGCACTAGCTGTGGGTTTCAGTAAGTGCCCTTATGGACTCTGGCTGTCCTGGCACAATGAACTCTGGCCAAACCAGTTGAAGGCTGCTTACCAAACTTGACAAACAGGACTCCAGTGGTGGAAACCACTTTCTTGCCATTTGTTGCCACGCACTGGAAGTAACCAGTGTCTGTGGTATCGAGGTTTCTGATCCGCAACCGAGAGCCATAGTTGGTTGCCCGGAAGGAGATTCTGCGAGGTTCCTGGACCACAGGAGCATCGTTCTTGAACCAGCGGATTGTGGGAGGCGGATTCCCAGACACTTTGCAGTGCAGTTCGGCAGTCTGCCCCAGGGATGTGGTGATGTTGTTCATCGGTTCATCAAGGGTTAAGTAAGAATCTGTGGACAAGAGAAAAGAGGCATTGAGAGGGATGCAGAGCTGAAGAAGACCCCTAGGCAAATTCAGGATGTTACAGCATGTCTCTAGTGTCACAATGAGGTGCATCAGTACATGGCCATAGGCAAGGGATGAGGTGGCAGCACTTACTAAGATCCCATGGCTGCTGATACAGCTCCCAGGACCTGATGGAGAGTGTTGACTGATCAGAATAGAAGACCCAAGCGTTCACATGAATTGCACTCATGGATAGCCATACTCCCTCAGCCAAGGAAAGATGACTTTTTGAACTTCAGATTATAAACAGATTATAAAATTAATACATGTTTCTTGTTGCAAATAACAATATAGCAAAGAAGAGGAGGAAATGAGGACAAAGGGACAGTAAAATTGAAATTTACTTAGAATTCTTTCACCTCTCAACTTCCAACAAACATTCTTCTTGTTTGTCCACCTTGAAAAAGAATCAAACACAGGAAAAAGCAAGGGCAACCCAATTATCTCCACACCACACCAAATCAGGAAGTGTACCCCCAACCTTCCTATTAGTGGCACAAGATTCATTGAGATGAGATCACTACCAGAAAAAGAGGTAATGGTTACTTTCTTAGTATTATTCATGGAGCCAGAACAAGTTAGGTTGTGCCATCCATCCATCCATCCACCTGTTCATCCAATAATCCATCCATCTGTCCCTCCAGCCATTCATCCATCCATCCACCCATCCATCTGTCTGTCAGTTCATCCATTAATTCATCCATCCATCCTTCTTCTGTCACCTACCTATCTAATCTGTCCATCTCTTATCAATTCAGCACATAATTTTAACCAAGATGTAATTTGCTGTCCATGTAATGCACTGAACTCAAATGGTCCCACAAGTACTGACAAATGCATGCACCTGTGCAACCAATGTCCTATCCAGATAGATCAACGCCTCAGAAACTGTTCCTGAATCCTTTGTAGTTGCTCCCAGCTCCCAAACCTTGCCTCCCATCCCTCCCCCAGGCAACCACTGTTCTGATTTCTATCATCATAGGAGTAATTTTGCTGATGCCAGGCTTTCGTATAAATAGAATTATCATATGATTACATTTGCATCTGGCTGCTTTTGAGATTTGTTACATTAAAAATTTTAATGAAATCTATTTAACTTTGCTTTTCAATGGTGTTTAGAAAACAATAAATATTAGTTGTGAAATTCAGTTACAGAGAATATGTTATTTTTCAAAATTAAGTTCAATAGTTGAAGACTGCTATTTGTCAATATGAAATTTTCTTTGGTTTTCCTTTTCCTTGGATAGGTTATTCCCTGAAAGATATTCTCTCTGCTATCTCTCCTTGTTTGGTTCTTGTAGAATTCTGTGCTCCGAATAGAACAGTCATTACCATCTTCATCCTAGCATCTATGACTACACACAAGAGATGCTCAAGTCTGGGAAGTGGAGAGATTCCTTAGGCCCTCACCCGAGGTTCCAGCCACCTCTCCGTATACCTTGGTTGTGCCTTGACGCCTGCCTTTAGCTGAGCCTGTAAATTTGAATTACTGCATGTGGTCAGTAGCTACTATACTGGACACCACCGAACCCAGTAAATTTCTTGAGTTTAATGGAATTTTATTGGGAAATAACTTTTCGTTTCTTGAGATATTTAACTACCCAAATTTAATTACCCAAAAGCTTATAAAAGAGACTCATAAAAATAAATGATCATTGTTTTTAAGTTTGCACAAAAAGACTGTTAGTCTCTGCAGTCTCACAGGACCATGTTGTCCCTGTGAGTGATGTTTATCACATTTGTGGTAGGACAAAGCTCACCTTTCACTGCTGTTTTGACCACACTTCTCATCTCAAGGTGGTTGTGCTCTCGCCAACAGGACTGGGAGCCCATCAAGGACTGCACTAGAGGTTTGGTACTGGGAGCCCATCAAGGACTGTGCTAGAGGTTTGGTACTGGGAGCCCATCAAGGACTGCGCTAGAGGTTTGGTACTGGGAGCCCATCAAGGACTGCGCTAGAGGTTTGGTACTGGGAGCCCATCAAGGACTGTGTTAGAGGCTTGGGACCGGGAGTTCATCAAGGACTGCGCTAGAGGTTTGGTACTGGGAGTTCATCAAGGACTGTGTTAGAGACCTTTTTTAATATGCATACTCTGATCTCTATTTTGGAGCATGTTTCTGTACCCTGCTTATGAGCTATGCATCCATCAATCCGCCCATGCTTGGCCCATGGGTACGACTGTGCCTGAGTATAGGCACATATGTTCCTAAGATGTTTGATAGATGCCCAGAAGGTAGGAAGGGCTAATTAACAGCTCCGTGAGGTGCCATAGCTTAACAGCCTCAAAGGATTACTCTGTGCTCTTTATAGACAGAAACTTGGAAAAGCAAACCATACAACGCTCATATAAACCTAGCAACTAATATTCATTAGGTTCTGAAATTTGCCTGGCTGGGTTTGAATATTCAGGTGTTCTCTCTGCTCCCAAGCTTATCTATATAACCTAGGGCAAGCGACTTAAGCTCTTTGTACCTTGTTACAGCTAACGTAAAAACTAAGCAGCAAATAGGCCCCAGCTGGCAAAGCTGTTAGAAGAAGATTAAAATTAAATTGAGTGACATGTGTGCAGTACTGAAGCCAGGGTTTGCCGAAGCCCAAGAATTGAAGTGTCACTGAAGAGTGCCATCGTGGGTCTTGCAACCATGACTTCTGTGGGAGGCTTTTCAGGTGCCACGGAGGTTTCCTTCCTCTCCTCCAGCCCTGTACCATCTGGGTAATGTTGAAATAAGAGCGGCGGCGGGGCTGCGTCCCCAACACCCCGGCCGCTTGGCTAGCTCATGCACGAAATAACAACACACAAACTGTATTCATTTAAGAACTGCTTGGCCCATGAACTCTAACCCTTACAGGCTAATTCTCGCACCTGGACTAGCCCATTTCTAATGATGTGTGTAAGCACCCCAAGGTGCGCTTACCGGGAAGATTCTAGCCTCTGTCCATGATGTCTCTGCTCCAGAGCGCAGAGTTGTCTGGTCTCTCTGGGAGCAGAGCAGAGTCTGACCTCACTTCCTCTTCCGCC